CTATTGCCAGAAAGACAAAGATACCTTTGCGCACAATCTATGCTATTTGCCCAATTGTCTGCAAAGTCACAGATTTTGGTTTCAGTAGATCTTTAAATACGCAAACACAATCAATCCTGCAATCTCGGGCTTAAATGGGGGCTTAAATGTAGTTATTCATACCATTTTTTACTTCAATTTTGCAGAGAATTCCTTAATATTTACCAATTTCCACAATTCCAGCATTCCAGGGGTCCCTCTCTGCAAGCTGGGCCCCCCTTTTTACTATAATTATACACCCCAGTAGTTATGTAGGTTAATTGAGGTTAATATTTGAGTTATCAGGGTTGTTAATAGTATCAGAATATCGTAAACGTATGTAGCTTTTTTATGACATAACACACGCCCTTCATGGAAATCATAGTTGAAGGGACTATTAAATAAATATAGTTTTACCAAGCTACATACCTACCTCGTAAAGAAAAAACTATTCTAAAACTTTTTTTCCGCGTTTTACCCCCTTTTCCGCATTTTACCCCCTTTTCCGCGTTTTACCCCCTTTTCCGCGTTTTACCCTCTTTTCCGCGTTTTACCCTCTTTTCCGTGTTTTACCCTCTTTTCCGTTTTCCTGGTTCCGCCATTCCGGTTCTGCTGGTCCGTTCCGTTTCCGCGTTTTACCCCTACCCATATACTCCGACCATACATAAGTAACTTCTTTAGTAGTATTTGCAAACATGAAATTAACGACTCACTGTTGGATTATTTAGATATCTTCGAGCAGTAGCATATCGTTTGATTATTTAGATATCTTCGAGCAGTAGCATATCGTTGGATAGTCAGATGATATTTGGCATGCTGGGATGGGAGAATTGCAGACCACTTCCAGCATGCCTAGTAAATGCATAAAAACTGACTGCACTGCTTTATAGGGTTACAGTAGATATAGTACAGATGCAAACAAGATTGCGTGCGAGTGCTGGTGTGAGTTTCGTCACGTTGGTAGACGCGCTATCAGCCTGTCGCGCAAAACATGCACACGTTTCTTGCCGAGGTTTTCTAGAGGCTCAAATTCTGGTCTATTTCGTGTACAAAAACACACAACTACATGTAATAGATTCTCAATGTGAACTTAACGAACGGTTGTGAGTGAAAGAATATAATGAAGTACTGAAGTAGAGCCCATCATTAGAAGCAGCTATATTAAGTAAAGTCCTTTTTAATACCCTATCGTATTTTACCATGCTATATATATATATATGCAATTCAAAATTTGTTAGTTTTGGAATGGTCCATACTCATGCTATGGTATGTCAGTAAATGTAGATATTTAGTATTAATTTCCATGTTATGCTTACACTAGTTACTACAATGTTTGCCATAATTAATATCAGCTATAGCCTAAGCCTATCTACATAATATGCGGTCTGAAACCTACAACGTAGATATAGTCTCTTGTCTCATCGAATTTGCATTTTAATTTTCGGCCGCTTATACGCTACAACTCGTCATGTTGTAATTATATTGTATCTATAGATTGAAAGCGAAGTCTACAGAAAGTGGATTCGTTTCAATTTTCTTCAAAATCTCTCAAAAACCCAATTCTACCCAGACGAAGCTATAATTTTCATAGTGTTTACATATCGAAAGGTCGCACTGTGTCATACTGCATACGTCACTGACCGCGCGATGGAATGTCAGGAATTTCGCCAGTAGATAGTCGAAAAAGCGAACTTTAATCGTAAAATTAACAAACTTCTGGTTCGAATTTTTCAACAAGGTTTGTATTTTTGTGATCGGAAAAGACCAAATTTTCAGAAAATGCAAAAAACCGGATATCGAAATTTTCATTTCATATACACTTTAAAATAACTTAATAATATTAATATTGTTTAAAACCATTAAATAACAGAACAATTTCACCTCTCATTGATTGTGTGTGCATGCAAAACGTTCTGTAATGGAGGGTATATTGCTAACTAATTACATCAAACATAAACCAAAGACTTCAAGGAGAGATGAATTCTTAAACTACTTAAACTAAATTACTAGAACTTAAACTTAATTTTTAGCTGGCTAATGAAATATGTGAAAAATAGTGCAACACCAATTATTCAACTGTTACAGGAAAGTACATTAATGATAAAGGTACAGTAACACAACATATCAAAGCTGTTGTTGCTTGCATCTTCTAATTGTAACTTAATTTATGGCTAAAGAAATACGTGAAAAATAGTGTAACACTAATTATTCATACTGTTACAGGAAAGTACATTAAAATGAATAAGGTACAGTACCACAACATAACAAAGCTGTTGTTGCATGCATCTTCTAATTGTAAGTTTAATGTTAAATGTTGCCAAAGAAGGCATTTGCAAATGCAAGATCATAAAGGTTGTAGAGAATTGTAGGTTCTGGTAAATGGATAAGGTGTGTTGCACGGGGTAATACCAACGAACATATGCAAGTGTTTGCAGTTGGGACAAATTTACCAACTCCTGTTGCTTCTACAAAGGTGATACTTGGTGGTATTGTAAAGCCTAGAACAGGCTCTTCATCAGCACACATAGTAAACATCAGTATATGGGCCAAGCTTATTATACCCCTTCTTCCATCTAGGATAAGAAATAAATAAATAATTTATTACAGCAAACACATTCCAAAGCTATTGTACTGTATTATTAATGATCATAATTTATACTAATCGACCATTGGGCTATTCCGTTTAATATCCATACTCCCCCCTGTCGAGGATCCCTGGAATTCGTCAGGGTAAAGGGTTTTGAGCTTCGAATTCTTCAGAGGTAAAGTGTTTTGAGCTCGGAATTCTTGAGGGGTAAAGTGTTTTGAGTTTGGAATTCTTCAGGGGTAAAGAGTTTTGAGCTTGAAATTTTGGAATTCTTCAGGGGTAAAAGGTTTTGAGCTTGGAATTCTTCAGGGGTAAAGGGTTTTGGGCAATGGAATTTTGGAATTCTTCAGGGGTAAAAGGTTTTGAGCTTGGAATTCTTCAAGGGTATAACTATGAAAAACATGTATCCTCGACAGGGGGTGTACGGATATCAAATGGAACAGCCCATTTTACTGCAGCTGAGTTATGAATGCTACCAAAAATATAAATTTAGCCAATTCTATTAAATTACACGAGAAATGAAGTCTCGGTAGAGGCAGGTAGAGAAAACAGTCCCTCAGGTAATTTGAAATTAATCACTTACTAGCCACTAGCCTTATGTACTGCATGAATTTCCCATACACTTGGTTGTGAAATTGTCTCCGATTTGAGCCGTCCTCGCTGAGCTTCAGGCTCAACAATATCACTAAACTTCTCACAGTTAATGTGTATGGTGGCCGCTTGAATATATCCAAAAACCTTGGAAGTAGACACCCAATCTATATTTAGATACATTGCATTAGTAATTTTATATATTTAACAAATATGGCACATTTACTTGTTTGAACAAAATTGCGTATGGTTTAAAGCTTTATAGGTTACTGGAATGCCATTTTCCAACAATCTTGAGATTAAATGGCATACAGGGCCGCCGAGAGGTTGGCGGGGGCCCGGGGCAAATTTTTTTGGGGGCCCCCAATCAAAAAAAATTTTCCAGAGAACATCCTCTCCCCCCCAACCCCCCCAGTCACCAAAACATTTTCGATCAGTGCACCATTTTAGCGGTAAAAAATTGTTTCAGACGAGTACATTGCAATTGCTTTCCAGGGACTTTATCTCATTTTTTATGCCAAATTTCGGTACTTACCCCAAGAAAACAGATATCTTGTCCTTTGCGCGGAAATATTTAACACACAAAAAAGACTGGGGCCCAACGACAATTTTTCAGGGCCCCCCAGCACCCCGGGGCAATTTGCCCCCCTCTCTGCGGCCCTGATGGGATAAAAACGTACTTCCACAGATAAATGGGGATAAGTTCCTTAAAAAGTTCATAACTTCCTGTTTCATTAACCAATCAGATTGCTCAAAAATAAAATATAAAATTTGATTGGTCAATGAAACAGGAAGTTATATAAAATTTGATTGGTCAATGAAACAGGAAGTTAGGAACTTTTTAATTAAGGAACTTGTCAAATTGTTGAGGAATTGTTCAGAGGTGTTCCTTCAAGTTAGAAAATGAATTGGTCAACATTATTCGGGATGCTTCTATTGGCACGACTGTAATGGTCCTTTGGAGAAAAATTTTATATCAATTTGTTTCTTCCAGGAACATAATTTCATCGAAGGTGGTCTTCCATGAGATTATAGCGATCAACATTTATATAATTAGTTTCCCCTTCTGTTGCCTGAGCTACATTTTGCACTTCAAGGGCTCTTCCAATTACCATTTTCCGCTGAAAACACCTCAGGATTTCAACGTGACTGAAATTATTTTCTCTGCACAATGCAACTGTGCCATTCACAACTTCTTCCACAGTGTGATAATTTTTGACATCCGGTGTTCATGTCAGAGCGACTGTCGCTCGGGTTTCAGTATAGGTGTTGGGTGGAAGAGATGAAGACAAGGGGGTTTCTGTGTGAAGTGCTCGCTGGAGCAGAGGATGTGGAGGATTGTTCAGGAACACTGGGTGGGGCAGTTGATGAGGAGGATTGTTCAGGAACACTGGGTGGGGCAGTTGACGAGGAGGATTGTTCAGGAACACTGGGTGGGGCAGTTGATGAGGAGGATTGTTCAGGAACACTGGGTGGAGCAGTTGACGAGGAGGATGCCTGAGGGACACTGGGTGGGGTAGTTGACGAGGATGCCTGAGGGACACTGGGTGGGGCAGTTGACGAGGAGGATGCCTGAGGGACACTGGGTGGGGTAGTTGACAAGGATGCGTGAGGGACACTGGGTAGAACAGAGGATGACTGAGGGACACTGGGTGGATCAGAGGATTCATCAGAGTCTAATCCTTCAGTGCATGCCCACAAATGCTTGCAAAGATTGCAAACAAGAACTTCTTTGTTGCACATCTGACATACATACCTCTTTAATCTCACACTGGCTTTATTGTACCAGAAGTGAGGTGGCAATGATCTCTGGATAGGCCGCAAGTAAACTTTACCCTGCCCACCACCCAAAGAGGAGCATAGGTCTTTAGCATTCCATGAACAGTTGATGACGGTGAGATCTCTGCAGTTTGAGGCGCATCGCATCATTTCAAATTGCGTTTCCTATGCTGTCTTCCATTTCGGACATTATTTTGTCTGTCACCATCTGCTCGTCATCTTCTAGATCGAGCTTGATCTTTTTCAAGCCCAGACCAGCTTTAAATAAAATCTGTTTTTCTGCTGCTGATGGTGTCTTTGTTGCGGTCGTGTCAGCAAGACAAAAAAGGTTTGGCGTCCACGGGTGACGTTTAGGTGCCCTCCTGCTGGCACCACTTGTGGTGCTTCTTGCCGCAGCACGTGCCTGAGTGCAGCTGTTGTGCCTACGGGGATTAAAAATTGCCAAGCATTCTTGGCGGGCAGCTGACACTTGGCGCGAACTCGAACTTGGCTCTTCGATCTTTCTTTTGCACGCATCACGAAGACAAATGTGATCGCCTATCGTGCTCACGCTGAGGCGAACCAATTCCTGATCCGACGCGGCCATGGTTGTCTCCGGCTCCATTCGCTGCACTTGGAATCGACCAAGAACTATCTCCATGCCCAGAGATCGAAGTATTTCGTCCATGACAAAACAAATAACACTAAATAGCACTCTCTTTTTCGAAGTATCAATATGTTGAAGACATGAAGTATAAAATATTATTCTTTCTAAGCCGCTGTCCAAACATACTGGCTCACTACCACATAATGATGCTCACTACCACATAATGATGTGCTGAGTATAGTGATGAAAGCACCACGTATAATGCTCAAACCACCGTGTATAATGGTGAAAGCACCGTGTATAATGACGAAAGCACCGCGTATAATGCTAAAAGCACCGCGTATAATGCTCGAACCACTGCATATAATGGCGAAAGCACCGCGTATATTAAATGGAGAAAGCACCGCATATAATGCTGAAAGCACCCAACCAAATGCCGTTTGATCACATAAGACAGCTATGGCTTTCCGTAAAATCAGACAATAACTTTGTGATCTGCACACTCGGCTTCCCAACATGCATGCAGTTGCAGCACTGGTGTCATTGTTGGGTTAATATAAAGTCATCTTTATTTGTTACTTTTGTGTATGGTAATTTGTTTGATATTTTACATCATCGTTTTACATTTACAAGCAGAAACTTGTCTGTTTGGACTATTTTTTAGTTCAGGTATAGGTTACAAGAACAGTATTAATAATACTAAGTTTATAACAGAGCATATAGTATCTGAATTTTAGATATCGTATGACAACACAGCGTAACAACATACCATGCGTAATCTAAAATTATCATAATATTAACAGTTAATCTGCAAAATGGCTTGAAATATTCAAGTGTCAAACTAAAATTTGAAATACATACAAAAAAATTAGAAAGTACATATTGTAAAACAGGAATTGCATTATTAGTTGCTAGCCTAGAACTCCTGTGGTAATAATTGGCTAACATGCAGATCATGGTGATATTTCTTGTGAGAAATTACATTATAAAAGTATATATGATACATCATGTAACGCATGTCTTATAAAAGTTGCTCACGCTCACACTCAAATAGTGAAGGTAAATATGTAATACATGTGTAATATATACTCGGCTTCCCCTGAGTATATTATATACATGTACTGTATTACGTATCACATTTTGACTATAGCCCTACAGGGATAATTTCTGATACATCGGGTGCCGATGCAGGGGGGCATAAAGCATTAAGTTAAAGAATATAAAATTCAATTTTCATTCTGAAATTAAATTGAATCACATTAAACAGAGACTACGAAGTAGATATATAGAAACATAAAAATCCCTTATAATATAGTTCGTATACGAGACACAAGGCAATATTTGTGTGCGCAAATATTAAAATTACATAATGCGGTAAAATGGTAAAACAAAACACAGAAGAATATAATAGCATGATAAGGCCTAAAAAAATAATGCGCTGATACATAAAACCACATATACAATTTTAACTAGTATATCAGGAAGAGTGCAACAAACAAATATTAAGAGATATGCCATATTGTCACACAACTGCCCAATGAAATTAGGACTAAATTATGCAAGTTCAGTTTAGGTACCAGAAGGATGAAATTGTTTAAATATGAAATAACAATGTCAGTGTCCATTCAAAATACTTAAATGAGCTCTAGCTATAAGTGAAAATTCGAAGGCAACTTTAATGAGTTTATCGCAGCAAACACATCAATTTGAAAGGCCACAGAACATGTAGTTGATGATAGTCTTGCTGTCAACAGTATGGCGTTCGGGCGAGGCGGTAAACTACTGGAGTTGCATATCAAATGACACAATTTATAGTGTAAACCTCACACATACATACACATTTTTTATATTATAAAATTAAAAAATACTGGGCCAGCTCTTTTGCATGGGTGGGAAAACCAACTTTTTAATGCAAGAATGGCACGCTGGACACAACCTTGTACATGCCTATACAAAATGTGAGTAGATCCCAATATGTAGATATGTAAATTACAAGGTGTATAACGTCATTATATGACTTTAACTGTGAAATTCATTCGTTCTTGAAGAAACACCTTTTTTTATATAAAATTTATTATTGGATGTTTACCCCAAAAGCAAACTGCTTATCGAGGGGGGCTTACATCTATACTTATATATCATTTTAACACAACACACAAATGGTACACATACCCAGACAAAATAAGATATTAATATAGAAATCATATTAAACATCAAAGGCGGATTCTGCAAAAAGACATGTTTAAAATAAATTGTTGAACTATTGAAAACAATACACAATTTTCTTCATAACTCAAAACTTCAGATCCATTTAAAACACAGTTTAACTTTACAGTCTCGCTGCACCGCAAACACAATTGACCAAAAAGCTGTGCAGCAGAGGTAAGCAAAGTCGCACGCCGAGTAGCATAACAGGGACAATCAAGTAGATAATGTTTTACAGTTTCTTTTCCTTGTTTACACGCACAAATAGGAGAAACTGCACAATTAATAAAAAATAAATAATCATTAAGAGCACAACAACCTAAACATAATCTAGCATGTAAAATAGAAGCTTGTCTGCTTAGTGAGGAATCAAAGAAATGGTTGTACTTTAAAGGATGCAATAAATTGAATGTATGTTTAAAGACAGATAATGAGTCTAACTGTCTTATATCTAAAGACAGGTTATTCCATAAATTTATAACTGAAGGAAAGAAAGATTTCTAAACAGTTCCGTTCTACACTGAAAAGTTCAAAATTCAGTAGCTGACCTCAAACGAATATTCAATCTCTCACTTGCTCTCAATGGCACCAAATCACTAATATAAGCTGGAGTCATTCTATTTACAGACTTATAGAAAAATATTATTTTACGAATTTTTCTTCTGGTTTTCAGCTTTACCCAGGCTAGTTCCTCACATAATTTCCGAGCACTGTTGCCTTTAATTGCACCCGCAATAATTTTAGCATCATCGTATTGAACACTTTCAAGTAAATCACTATTTCCTGATGTACAATTATCCCAAACAATATCAGCATATTCCATTTGTGGCCGTATCAAACTTGTATACAAACATCTAAGAGTAGACCTATCTAGATGGAATTTGAATGATTTCATCACATTTAATTGTTTAGAGGCTTTTTCATAAATTTCCAACACATGCTTATTCCAAGACATAATAGGGCCATTTATACGTGACAAAATAAGTCGCGACTTACATAAGACGCGACTTAAATAAGTGGAGTTATCGCATAAATGGTTCTCTACGGCTTTGGTCTTATTTATTTGCTATAGCTATAATGTTGTTTTGGTTGTTTTTGTTTTAATATGCAAGGCATTAAATTTTACGTTGTTTCAAGTTTCTGGCATGTGTAGTTAGACTTTTTGTCCAAAATTTCTTATTTAAGACAGACTTAAATAAGAACAGGTAAAAGACCTGTTCTTATGTAAGACGCGTCTTACATAAGAATTTTGTACCTTTTATACCACAAACTCGCGTCTTACTTAAGTCGCGTCTTATGTAAGTCGCGTCTTATTTTGTTCCGTATAAATGGCCCTATTGTTTTGAAATGTAAGACCCAGATGGATATGAGAACTAACTTCTTCAATATCCAGACCTCTCAATGTAAGTTCCAGATGATCTATTTTGTCTCTTTTCAATGAAAACAACATGGATCTAGTTTTTGAGGGGTTCATAGTAACCAACCACTTATCTAACCACTCAGAAATCTTAGCTAAATCGTTATTAAGATTTTCAGCTGACTCAACAGGATGATCTATGACCTCAAATAGAGTGGTATCACCAACATAAACAAAAGGCTTTGATTCAAGATTATCTGTGCGATTTCTATCAAGTAGTCATATAGTCTTTTAAAGGCAACTTTTTCACATAATTTTGATAAACAAGGTAAAAGTGAATTTCTTCCTCTTCCACTGAAATAGTAAAAAAATCCCGCGCAGAAGGATGTAAATGTACGAATGGCGGGCAAAGTGTCAGGGAAACATTAGTTAACCCTCAGAGACTTTTAGTAATAGACCACCACCTTTTAGAATTTATATTAGCATTGCTTCAATCTTTATTTAACTTTGTAATAAAATTGTTTTGCGGACCTAATTAAGTTAGTAAAATTATGTTGCCTTCTGTAAGATTCCCAAGAATAATCTGATCCCCTAATATTATGAATATGTAATAACCTATCATGTTTACGAATAGCCCGGCGAACCTCATTATTCATCCACGGTTTATCCCTTGACCGTATGACAACAGATTTTAATGGTATATAGCTTTTGACAACATCATAAACCGTTTTGAACCATTTCTCATAAATATGGTCAATATCAAATACAGTATCGAAAAGTGATCCCCAATCATTCAATATTAATGCATCATTTAAAGTAGAAGTATTTACATTGCTAAAATCCCAAATCTCCTTTTAAAACTTTTTTTTAGAAGTACTAATCTTCATTTGAGCAAAGATAAGCGAGTGGTCACACATAGAAGGTACGAGTTCCTGTTTTGTTAAAAATATTTGGACAATTTGCAAAACATCTAAAATTGCTGCTTGATGCCTGGTAATTCTTGTTGGCTCATTAATCAATTGTGTCAAAAAATTATTTCCTATTAAAAAACTATTAAATTTTAATCCTGTTTCGTACCCTCTTGTGGGACACTACTTTATGCGAAACATCACAAAAGACAGGCAAATGATCTTTTAATTCTGTACCAACTGTAACTCACATGCAGGCGATATGATAATCGATAGTTCAATACTTTAGTATTCAACAAATGTATGCCGTGTATATATCGACAGAGTCAACTAGAAAAAACAGAGTAAAACTCCAAGTTAATAAGTATAAACGTTCTAAGAACAGCCATCTACTGCCATACTTACAATTTCGTGGATTATCCGTCCGTCAAGTTCACAATAATGCTAAATATTTAGATTTTCCTTTCTCGATATTTTAGACCCACTTTCTAGTTAAAATCTAGCTTTCCTATTACCCTCAACTTGAGGGTAACCCCCTAAAATGAGGCATAATGACCCAAAACTGACCGTGGCTCCTCAACCTGGCTTAACTAGGGGGGTCCGGGGGGAAATTTGAAGCCAGGAAACGCATTTCCTGCGTACTGAGCAGCATATCTCCTCAAATTTTAGTCCTCAACAAACAAACATTTTAGACAAAAAGTAACGAAAAACAAAGTTTTGTTTTATTCCAATTGCAATACACTGCTGCTTTGTTCATATATATGGATGGTGAAGCATTTGCTTAAACATCAACAGTTTTAAGTGGGATAGTATGATTGACGTGTAAGCCAATTACTGTCGCTAAGGTAAAGATCACCAACATGAATTCGTAATTATGTGCATTATGCATTACTTCTTCAGTAACTGCTGCTGTATGATCATATTTTCAAAAACTGACATGGCAGTATCAGACAAGCACTTTGCAAAGGCAATTTTAAGCCAAGTGAACGCTTTATTCTTATGTTGCGATTTAACTACAGGATGACCGGCATGGTATGGAGCATGTTCACGCAACTCAATACAGCTAGGGTGTATCACAAAAAAGTAGACAATTTTGAAACGGCTCTTTTTCGTTTGATCTTTGAATATGTGCTGTATGTTGTTGACAAGTTGTCCCATATTCACTTGAGCTTATACGATAATTATACCAGTCTTTGACTCGGTTGCTCAGCTCTGCCGCGTACGAATAGCACGCCAATGTTGCTGGTGGAGTTGGGAAGGAAGGCTGGATGGGGGTAATAGGGGATCTTGGGGAAACAATCGGGGGTTCTACAGGAATAAATTACAACACCCGATTCTTTATTTTTGTCTAGAGCTCCTCACTAATTTTGTCATACAAACACCTGATTCATAAAAAATTTACATAAGTCTAATATGAATAAATTAGGAACATGCAAATTTCACATAGCAACATGATAAACCCACACTATGAAAATTACTCGATTATTTTTACCTCACTATAAAACGCTAGCAATGGTTACTAAATGATGTAGCATAAATACTCGTAACAGTCGTACAATGACATAAATTAACGAAATGTGAGTTCTAAATCAAATGAATATAAGTCTAACATGGATAATTAGGAACATGCAAATTGTACTTGACAACATGATAAACCCACGCTTAAAAATTACTCGATTATTTTTATCAGGTTTTCAAAACACAAACATCAGTGAAAATGTAAATTACTCTTAACAGCCTTCAAATATTAAATATTTTTCAAATGTAAACGTTTTTGAGTGGTTGTAAAAACCATGTCAAAGTCTTTCTCCAGGCAATGTTTTAAAACCAAATTAAGGTTGTGAGTAATTAACTCATTAACGCCCAATGCGCCCGTATGCGCCCTGAGATTGACAAGTGGGTAACGGACAATGCGCCCGCATGCGCCCTCAAATGACACCTCAACTTGCGGGCATGATATTTGAGCACGTGTTTATCGGGTTGCCTAGCAACGGATACGAAAATAGAACGTGAAATTCGAGCTTTTCAACGGTGTATCATGCAAGAAAATTGGTCAGAAACTCGCAAAGTTTTTCAAGTTTAAAACCTTAGTTTTTCAAAAATAATGAATAATGGAGATATTGTTGCAAAGAAGGATTTTACAGCAAGTTTTAAAAGCGAATAAAGAAGAGGTTTTCGGATGATATACAACGAAAATTTGGCATGAAAGGAAAGCGAATGTATTGACGTTTTGGGCCAAATTTTTCTGTGAACCTTGCGCGAGATTTTCAGCCAAAAAGATGAGGATTTCTCCAAACTTTATTAAAAATAGAAGTCGGAAATCACAAGAAAGATGAACACGGAACACAAGTGAGCAGATACGATTTTTTAAAGGGTATTTTTGAGTAGAAATATGCGATCAAACACTCACAAAATTCGACCGCATTGATGTTGGTTGAATCTAGTTTAAAGTTATCTTTTTAGACAAACTGTTTATGCAAATTTGGGCACAATTTCGACTGTTTTCGTGACCCCATTGTTGGTCTTCTTGTTCAAGTTGTTATTTTAGCTAAAGTATGTTTCAAACGACACCAGATTGTGCGTACGTGACCTTTTTTGACCTTTTTGGCAAGAATACTTCGAGTATTAAATTACACTAAATAAGTAGGATATTCCAAAGTCACTGTAAAATCTATTTTCATCAATTTAGTCTTAAAATGACAACTCGTTTCAGACATATTGTGGTTTAAAATAAGTGTATTGAATAAACGCGCTTGCTTGCCGCGTGAGAATTCTCAAAAAGTCCGCACTTGAGTTGTAAAGCTTTCAAAATGCTTTTTTACTGGTTTTTATATCCCCTATAAAACTTTAAATCGATAAAGCAGATAATAATGTTGATGAAACATCATTTTCTAGTAACTACACATTGAATCAGAAGAAAAGTTATCAAAATAGGTCGCGACGGTTGTTTGGCAAAATGTCGCTTCTCTCTGAAATGGCTTCCTTTGCGGGAAGCCATGAAATTGAAGTCCTAACAAAAACTAACCTTAGCAGTTCTTTTGGGCCCATTGCTCACTTATTTATCATGAAATCGCTTCACTAGAACATTTTTAATAATGTCTATGGAAAACTTTGTAATTTTCTGAACATAAGTTTATGGTTTCGAGGTGTTTATTTTATAAAATAGCACGCGCGACAAAATGGCACTTTTGTGGTTTCTCACGTCTGACAAACAACCAAAGATGAAAGTCCTTATTTCACCTTTTTATAGCTATGTGGAATACCTGAATATTAGGTTATCTTTTTCATGTGAGTATATAGATAACATTTCTACACAATAGTCCTTATGAACGCTTATTTCAAACTAAAAAAAAGCGATTGTTTTTCAGAGCCAGACTTCAAAAGAGAACGCGTGTCTGACATTTTATAGCAGCCTACATTGGCGCGCAAAATAATTTTGGCTAAAAACCGTTGCTTTTCCAACAAAAACATGAGAAAATTGAGCAAAAATTCTTACCTGATGTATGTTTGAAATGTTTTTCTTTTTATGGTGTTTTTCAGTGCTTTGAGTAGAGAGGTTAATAGCTTTTGGTTTTGTCACCACAATTTGCCTTTGAAAATGTCGGCTGTCATTGTCTGTGTTAAAAACACCTCAGAAAATTCCTATTTTCTCACCTTCCCATCCTTGGTTTATATTGAAAATAAATAGATTATAGTACCATATGTCCTTATAAATATATTTGAAGTAATTTAAAAACTTGAAAGATGTACAAGCACTGTGTTTTGGCTTGCACACTTTGTTGAATTTGAACACTTAGTTGCTGTTCTAAATTTCATGTTGTAAACATCTTGCCCAAAAAAAGCAAAGGAGTATATTTTATAATTTTTGATCATTTTCTAATTCATATCCCAATAGATGAAAATTGGTTATAAAATAGATATGTACTAATTTAGTGAATAATTTTTTTTTTGGTTTTTATATAAATTTATGGAGATATTGCCCCTTTAGGTGATGAGTGACATGAAAAACAAAGTGTCACTGCTTTACAAATAAAAATTCTCATTGAAAAAACTAATGATATATATAGGTATGCAAGTTCATTTAAACTAAATTTGGTCAATCATATATCAATAATATTTGGTTGAAAAGACCAGATTTTTTCATGCAACTGTTTCTGAGATATTGCCATTTTGGTGAAAGCTCTTGAATTCAATCACGTATTCGCCATTTTGCCTGTTTTAAGGAACATTGTTTTTTAGTTTATTGCAATTTTAGTTTATTGCTCATTCTTGTACATAATTTTTTTCTTTTTTTTGTTCTTGATAACCTATTTGGCCTTGAACATGTAAATAGTAATTACTATAGTTGCACATTCGTATTTTGAACGAGCTTTATGCTCCTGGATGTAACTTGTTTAATTAAATTATTCATTCATTCATTCATTCATTCATTCAAAAAGTATTTTAATTTATTTTTAGATGTTAGCTCAACCATCACCCATGAGTGCCATGTCAATACCATCCCTTAAAATTCCTTTATATCAATCACCATCCCCTGCCCACTTATGGCAAGGTACCATTTGACATTAAATTTTAATATTGTCACTTGATAATTTTGCCATGATCAGATTAAAACCTGTCAAACGTTTTTTGACAAACATGAAAGTTTCGCATGACAATCTGTCAGTCAGTTCATTCTTAGATGAAATTGATGGTAGTTCTAAGCTTCTAATGATATTTAACTCTTCCAGTTAAACAGACCAAGACGTCAGGAGTGAGGAGTGTACAAGTTAGTTCAAACACTGCCTATCCATCACCGTCACCTATCATCCCCTCTCCTAGTCTGGCTGTCCACTCGCCTGGCAAAACTAATCTGGTTGATGAGGAGGAACAACTGTATTTCCAGAAGGTAGGTGATTATGGTGGTGATTATAGTGATAATTGGCTACCCCTCGCTATTGAGCGGTTGCTATATTTGGAAAATAAATAATAGATGATGATGATAGTAATGATGGTGATGCTGATGGTAGTAATGATGGTGGTGATGGCAGGGGTGCCACTTAATTGCCCTGTTCATGGTGGTGGTGGTGGTGCATGATGATGATGGTGGTGCATGATGATGATGATGATGGTGCATGGTGCATGATGATGATGGTGGTGCATGATGATGATGATGATGGTGCATGGTGCATGATGATGATGATGGTGCATGATGATGATGATGATGGTGGTGCATGATGATGATGATGATGATGGTGCATGATGATGATGATGATGATGGTGCATGATGATGATGATGATGGTGGTGCATGATGATGATGCATGATGATGATGATGATGGTGGTGGTGATGGTGACAGAACATCCTTCGTCAACACATGCATAAAAAATAATTTTGGATTTTGACTATTAAATGTGGAAATACGCTTAAACACGAAAACGAGGCTAAGGGGCCTGGCACTGCTTCTATGACCATAGCCTGTGAGAAATAAACTTAAAATCCATTCCATTTAAGGCGGTTCTAAGTTGAAAACAGTGTAGTCGTGACGAGATTACTGGAAAGGTCTATTCAACTGCGTTGCATTTGTTACTTAATTTGAGTAGGACAATTTCTGTGCAGTCGCAGAACCAGTTAACTCTCCACAGACATTCAACTTCAATGCCATTTTCTTTTGAAATTTCCTGATATGGTATGGTTGGAAAAAATTAAAAAGCAGATAGAAGTAATATAAGAAAAAAAATACTCCAAATGGTAGTGTTCGACCACGCAGCAAAAACAATAGAAAGGGACTGGAACGTTCAACAATTTCCACCATCTTTGGCTTCACGTTTTGGACTCGTACGCCTATGTGACATAGGCTATGTCTGTAAAGGTTAACTCGAGCGCACTCTCGTTTAGGCTCTGTGTTAGGCGACTAAATGGAGAGATCTGATTGGCTTCTCAGAGAACTGCTATTTCCCAGAAGTTGAGCAGTTTTCGCTAGGGAAAGTTTTTCTATCAAAATATGTGAACAAAAATACTTCGAGCTATCCAGTATAAATAGAGCTAGTTTAGTTTAGGTTTCCTCCTGTGGTAACACTGGATCAATAAGAGATTATCCTTACTGGACCTCTAGGGAGAACAGTTTAGAACTTATAGAACTATCCAGTTTAAAGTATTAACGGTCCTTGTCTTTTTTTGACAATGCAGTCTACAAATAATTTTACATTTATTTTAAAGAAAAAACGGCTTATTAACAGCGCACATACGGAAACCTCAAAGAAACGCATTAAACTCGATGGGAAAATAGCGACAAGAAACAAAATGACTAATTCCCCCCCAAAATTGACTGGAAATGTTGAGTTTAAGGTACGTATGTTAGTGGAACAATTGTACATTTAATGATAAAAGTGCACAACTTGGCATAATGTTAGGGTATCCTGGATAGAACTATCCAGTTTAAAGTAGTTCAGTAATGGTCCTTGTCTTTTTTGACAATACAGTCTACAAATAATTTTACATTTATTTTAAAGAAAAAACGACGTATTAACAACGCAGGAACCTCAAAGAAACGCATTAGAGTGGATGGGGGAATAGCGACAGGAAACAAACAGATTACGGATTTCTTCCCAATTAAGGTACGTATTGATGAAAATATTTGCCTCACATCGGCTATTTCACTTTTTTAAGGATTTTTTTATATTGATAAAAATATATTAAACTAACTCACGATCCCATGTGTTTTTTCTCTCACTGTATATATCATGTTCACTCCCCCCTGAAACTATAGGTAGCCCTAACACTAATTGTCTCCGACGGTATGTTAGTTGAGAAATTGTGCATTTGATGATAACAGCACGGCATAATGTTATAGGGTATCCTAGATAGAACTATCCAGTTTAAAGTAGTTCAGTAATGGTCCTAATTGTCTTTTTTTGACAATACAGTCTACAAATAATTTTACATTTATTTTAAAGAAAAAACGGCTTATTAACATCCTACCTGCGGAAACCTCAAAGAAACACATTAGTGTCGATGGGAGAAGAGCGACAAGAAACAGAATTACTATTTCCCCTCCAAAATTGACTGGAAATGTTGAGTTTAAGGTACGTATGTTAGTGGAACAATTGTACATTTGATGATAACAGCGCACAACTTGGCATAATGTTAGGGTATCCTGGATAGAACTATCCAGTTTAAAGTAGTTCAGTAATGGTCCTTGTCTTTTTTGACAATGCGGTCTACAAATAATTTTACACTTATTTTAAAGAAAAACTGGCTTTTTGACAGCGCACATACGGAAACCTCAAAGAAAAGCATTAGACTCGATGGGAGAATAGCGACAAGAAACAAAATGACTAATTTCGCCCAAATATTGACTGGAAATGTTGAGTTTAAGGTATACGTATATGTTAGTGGAGAAATTGTGCATTTGATGATAAAAGCACACAACTTGGCATAATGTTATAGGGTATCCTGGATAGAATTATCCAGTTTAAAGTAGTTCAGTAATGGTCCTTGTCTTTTTTGACAATACAGTCTACAAATAATTTTACATTTATTTTAAAGAAAAACTGGCTTATTAACAACGCACATATGGATACCTCAAAGAAAAGCACTAGACTCGATGGGAGAATAGCGACAAGAAACAAAATTACTAATTTACCCCCAAAATTGACTGGAAATGTTGAGTTTAAGGTACGTATGTTAGTGGAGAAATTGTGCATTTGATGATAACAGCACACAACTTGGCATAATGTTATAGGGTATCCTGGATAGACCTATCCAGTTTAAAGTGGTTCAGTAATGGTTCTTGTCTTTTAAGCAGGTAGCACGGTTTTCCAAGCCTATCCCGAGTTATTAAACGGTCAAAAAACCGCAAAATGGTACAAAAAGGCCCCAAAATACGTAGGCCTATATACTTTTTTTAGCAGGTTTGATCTTATGTAACTTAAAATCGGTGTCGAAAACCGTAGTAGCCGTTTAAATGACCTATATTTAGTTTTTTTCGAGCTTTTTAATGAAATGGGTGACATTTGCTAAAACTGAACTTTGAAATTACACTTTTTTATAAGATCGCACTTTAATAGGTAAATGGTAAGAAAAACAAAATTTTGTGCCCCTATAGCCAAAAAATTCAAACCTGTCAGTGGTGAAATATATGCAGTAATGTTATTCTAACGATTTAAACTTCCTCTTTAAACTCACGAGAAGACTAAGCATGCCACAGTTGTAGCAGATAGAGGGATAATGGCCAGTGGTGCATCAAAGATGAACCTACCTTACAATTCCATGACCGTGGTAAATGATAAAGAAGTTAAAATGGCGTTGGGAAATAGAATAAAGATAGTTGTCGGAGATGTGGCACAAGAAAAGGTATATTCGGTAGTACAGTGGTTGAGTTCATGCTTTCGCGACTGAGGTTTGAATACTGGAATATGCAGTTTTCCGATTATAATCTATACTTTCCACTTATGCGCATGTGAGATAAGAGTGTTTCCAGTTTGACCCTACCAAATAACACCCCATGTACGGAGCAAGCGCCTTTCACGGCTCACTGATTAGATCGGTGATGACATTTATGTGAAACAAGTAAAACCCCGCATAAAAGAAAGAGTCGTGGATTTTCACCAGGGACGTCGCGGTAAAACCCCCCATAAAATAACCAGTGGTTAAGAACCACCAGCCTGAAATTTGGGCAATTAAGCACCCAAAATACAAGAACTACTTCAGGCTGA